AAGCACGAGCACGCCTATTCAGTGATTTTCACAAGTAAACGGCTTTCTATTTCGGAGAAACAGCGATTCCGCACACACAGACCACATCCTGACCGTGACAGGGGTAGGGCTGTCTTGCCACATTGTGGTGCGCTCTGTTGGCTATTCCGAGTTACGGCCCCGCCTTCCACTTGCTAAAATGAAACCCAAGCGACGCTTGTGTCTTCACGTATCACGGGTGACTGCTTTTGTTGTATCTTCCGTGGTCAAACTTGATGCCCGAATGATGGTGAGTGCAAAGGTTGGGTCAGTGGATTCATCATGCAAGTCGGAGTCTGAAAAGGACTTGCGGATGACTTACGACAGCATTTGGCTGGTGCACCGGAAACTGCCTTAGGGAAACTCCGTCTTTGCGTCACCAAGGTTCATTCCCTAGCCCAGCCCAGGAATCAGCAGTAGCACTCGCTTCGGGCCCCTGGTGCATGTGGGTCAAACAAGGCATGCAAACCACCCCTCCCACTTTTGCAGCCAGCATCAAAGCACGTTCTCCGCCTCCCACGCTTGGCCCAAGCCTCGAAGCCTCCAAGCCCGGGCACCGGGCGCACTGCTCGCACGCCGCCTGCAGCTCCACGCCCTGCCGCCGCAGCAGAGGCCGCGGCGCGGGCGCGGCCAGCGGCGCCGGGGCTGCGGGCGCGGCCGGCGCCTCGGAGCGTCGGAGCGATGGGAAGTGTGGGGTCCGTGAGGGTACCACTGGCTCTTGAAGGGAAACCAAAAGGAAAACTTCAGAGCCATTTTGGGGGAGTCCGGTTCCGAAAAAAATGGACGCGCCCGGTTTGTTCTCTGCGTTGCGTTTAGCTCCGGAAGTCGGAGGTTCTTCCTCTTCGGCTTCATTTGGCTTGAGCGGGAGGAGCAAGCGCGGTGTTCAACGTTCGAACCTTGCGTGTTTGCTGCGCTCCAAGGAAAGAAAGAACAAAAGAAAGAGAGAAAGCAGAAGAGGAAGGGCAAGAAAACCGTGTATCAAGGGACTCCTCCAAACAATTCCCTGGTTGAGCGCTTCTTTGGAACCTGCGCAGCCCTGCCCTCCCCGGCCTCTGCCGACAGCTCTGCACCTGCCGTTGAGAAAGGGCACCCACTCTCTTTCCTGGGCAAACAAAAGCCCTACATCTTACCTGCACACCCCGGGGTTTGTGGGCATGATGTGGCTAAGGGCTTCAGCTGCAGGGGTTGAGTGCGCTTGCCGCGGGTCAGTGGAGGTCCGCACGGTTTCGAACAGGATCCTCGCGATGGTTGTCTCAAAACCCGATGTGTCTGTGGCTTGAGAAAGACGTGTGTCACACTCAACCAAATATGGCTCAACCAGCACATGACCTTGGAAGATTCAGCCTTGCTCAAACAGGTTGAACAATACATTTAGTAGCTCACTGAGAAGGCACAAATTTGAATACATGATCTTCAAGTCCGAACTTCTCCCTTTTTGAAGCCCTGGCATGGTTTGCGTGTTTTGTTTGTCCAACTGTCGTTCCATTCTCGGCAATTCTAGCGTCTCTGACAGGGGTCGTATAGCTCCCATCCAAACATTGCACGGAATGGAATTTCCGTCAGATCACAGCACTGAAAATCTCTGATGTAGATCCTCCCAAACAATGGGCATAGGGCGTTGCTGTTTGTTTGAAACGCAGATGAGGCATTCAATTCCTGGCAAATGATTGAAACCAGTGGATTGCAACCATTTGCCAACTTGACTTGACCAGTGAACTTGAAACTCTGAATCCAACCATTGGATTCCAAGCTGAATTTTTCAGCCCTGACCTAAAGATACCAAGGGGACCCCTCCCCTGGGCCCCATGTCCCCCCTCCCCAATTGGTCTCGTGGCCTGGGCTGGCCATGGCATCACCCGCGTCTTCCGTCGGGATTTGCCCCCTTGGCCCAAGGCTTGGGCTCGAAGGAAACCAAACTCTGGACCTGCTTGCCACGTTGGAACGTAGTGCAGAACTCCGTGGCTCAAGTCGAAAGACTCTGCGAATTGTGGAACTTTTTGTGTGGGTTTCATGCGGAAAGCCCCGGAGAGTTCAAAGATCAGCCAAAAAAGAAGGTCTTACCCACAAACAATGTGGTTCTAGGCTTTGGTTTGCACAGTTGTTGTTCTGCTAGATCAGTTAATCTCTCTTGGCCGAACAGTGGAAAGCTGCTGCAAGCTGGAAGAACAAACAGACACTGGGCCTGCCACAACTATGTCCTCAATTACGGCCTGTCGTGAAAGCGATGGTTTCGTTTGGTTTCCTGTTAAGAACCTTAAAATCGACCCACTAAAGTGCACAGGGTACAGGAATTCGGAAGCAAAGTTTCCAGCTGTACAACAAGTTGACAGAAAAAAAACTCGCGAAAGCGATGGCTTCATTTTGGGAGGCCAGTTTCTTCTATTTGCTTTCTGATTTCTCCCAAAACGGGGAAAGTATTTTTTGCACGCCACTTGCACCGCAAGACGCGCCAACGGCACAGGTCAGCGTGAGCCAAGCTGCAGAGACATGACGGGGCCTTCCCAAGGACCCATGGGACCAGTGGGACCCATGCCCCTCGTCATCGCTCCCAAGCGCCCAGGACCGCCGTTCATAAGCGCGCAACAAGACAAAACACATGGCTGTGGGTCAAAACCAGTGGGATCCCATTTTGGGGTAGGCGCACCAACCATTTTAGAACCTATTTTAGTGGGAATTGGGATGTTCACTGGGGGTACAGGCTTTGATTTTATGGCCACATCTCTCCGCGGTGCTTTTTGCGGGCCGGCCGAACTCCGCGAGGCGCGCGCCAGCGCGCGTCTCTGAGCCAAGCTTCGGACACTTTCGCGGCCGGGCCAAGAGCCCCACCGCGAGGGAGACGAGAACTCCCTGGAACCGGAGAAGCAAAACTGAAGTGCCGCGGCGAGCCACACATCCGAGTTTTCTGCTCAACGGCAAAGCAAACTGATTGAATGAGCTCAGCTCAGTGTGAGAAATTCGTGGCCGCGCTGGGAATTCCCGGAGGCTGTACCCCTCGGCTTGTCGGAAACGTTTCCCCGCAGGCTGCGAGCTCCCACCTGGCGTGGAAAAGGGGCCGGCCGCGGTCTATGAGTCTTTCTGGGTCTGTGCCAGAATAGGGGGCCTAGGGGGCCTTAAGACTGGCTCAATGGTGGTTTTTTTTGAAATCGAGTTGAAAAAGAACAACTACACATCATGTCACAGGCCAGTTGTTGGCATGCCTGCTATCTGTCATTCGCACCGTACGGCCCACCGATTTCAGTTTTCGGGTTGCCGCCCAACAAATTACCAGCAGCTGTGTTGGATCCTGGAGTGTGTTCATGAAACACCGAATCGCAGCTGATGAACATGAAATACCTAGGTGTAGAAAGGTCGCGCAATCCAAGAAGATATAAACAAACATGGTTCAGTGCACAAGCTGCAATGCCAGCATTGGCTCTTGCTTACCTTAACGCGATATGCGATAGTGTCTTGTTGTGTAGCATGGCATGTGATTTGTCAAGTTCGATGGAACAGGCATAAACCCTGCATCTTGTCTTGATGCTTCAGTGATTGTGGTCTAAATGATAGGCAAATAACATAATGACCGTTCCATATTCCATCCCCATCCATCCTTCTCCTTCGCATTCAAGCCTCTCCACCATTGAAAAGCACGTAATCCCAAATAGAATGGATGCAACACTCAGGAGGTTGCAGTTTTTCTTTTTGCTTTCTTACATTCTGCTTTCCATCACATATTGTCATCCTTTTTAATAGTTCTATTTGGTTAAGATTTCATACTGCATGTCTTTAGCTGAGGATCTCTGCGCAACAAACAATGCTGACTACGAGGATCCTCGTCCCGCTTGCTTTCAAAGCAGCGGTCATTCAAGAGGCGTGACGTCCAACTCGGGGTGGGTCGAGAACTGCTTGCTGCCCAGATGGGGAGGGGGATCATTTTCGAACACCGATTTTGGATCATTTTCGACCACAGAGTGGGTCATTTTCGAACACATGGGGGGGCTATCCTGCGGCACCCGTGGGGTGGTGGGGGGGGTGGGGTGGGGCAGTTGCGTTCGCCTCTTGCTGCGTGCCCGTGCAACTGCGCCCTGGGGCTGGGGGAAGGGGGCAACCAGGAGGCTCCGAGTCCCAAGTTACCTTGGCTTTGTGAGCTAAGATGTCCTCGGCGACTTGCGCTCGTTGGCCCCTGTAAAGCGGTGAAAGCTCGGTCTAACGGCCGTAATAACTCGCGCGGGAAACTGAAAGGCCGCTACTACTCCGTGAAAAAGCCGTGAAAACTCGTGAAATTTCCAAGCTCTGAGTTATCTTGTCCTCGCGACACAAAAAACCTCCTTAGCTCATACGGCCTAAGTAACTTGCGAATCGGAGCCTCCTGGAATTGCGATCGCCGCTTACTGCGTGGCGGCGCAACTGCGTATTGGGGCTGGGGGGGGGGGGGGTGGGGTGGGGCAGTTACGTTCGCCTCTTGCTGCGTGACCGTGCGACTGCGCGCTGGTGGTGATGGCGGTGTTGTTGGTAGCGATGATGACGATGTTGATGATGATGGTCATGATGATGACGATGATGATGATTATGTTGACCATGTTGATGATGATGATGATGATGTTGATGATGATGATGATGACGGTGATGATGTTGATGATGATGGTGATGAAGTTAATGATGATGATATTGATGTTGCCGATGAGGATGTCGATGGCGATGACTTTGATGATGTCGATGATGATGGTGATGTCGACGTTGATGTTGATAATGGTGATGATGTTGTTAATGATGATGATGATGGTGATGATGTTCATGTTGACGATGTTGATGATAATTTTGACGATGGTGATGTTGATGTTGATGATGATGATGATGATGATGATAATGGTGATGATGATGGTGATGATGATGATGATGATGGTGATGATGTCCATCCCCTGAAGGCTTCGACTCGTTGAACCCCCCAACTCGAGCCGAAAAACAATTCCTCTCCCACCTCGGGGCTCGACCGCTTGCACCTCTCAGTTGTTCAGCTCGAAGAGTGCGAAGCACCTGGCCATTGCTCCCTCTAAGGTAAAACACCTGGATGTAGCTGGCACCCATGGCATTTAAAGAGGCCAATGATCAATGATGGGCTGGGCAACAAAAACATGGGGCCAAACATCCGAACCAGTATCCAAGCCCCTGACCCCAGGCTGTTTGGAGAGCACGGGTGTTGCCTACAAGGGCCAGGCTGCATTTGGTGAAATGGCTGTGGCTCAACAATGGGTACCAAAATGGGCTTCCCCGGTAAATGAAACCAAGGACTAAACCTGCGGTCCATATCCTGGCGGTTTAATGTTGGCCCATACCCAAATGTCAAATCCCTGCAAATAGCGTAGGTTTTTCGGAAACACCCCACATGCTGATAAAATATCGTGTCATCTCTGCCGGCAAGTAATTGCCGGCAAGCATGCCGGGCCCACGTCTGCAAGCCCTGGTACTCAACCACCCGAACAACCTTCCGCAAAGAGAAGGGAGGAAGCTCGTAGTCATACTTGATGTATGTCCTGAGCAACGTATAGCTTTGTCTCCGCACTTCCTGGATTGGACAATGAAAGTCCAAACGTTTTATCTACCACTAACATGGTCTTCCCAAAAGGGACTAAATTCTAGGAACTCAGGAAGTGAGTCTCTCAACTTACGGATCCGGTTACCTTCTTTGTATTTTCTTCAAGCGTCCCATGGGAACACATTTGGACGCAAATGCTTGGTTGCCAGGAACGGGAATCCTCTGTCGAACAAGGTAATTAGCGAACTTGGACCATTCCATACGCGGGGTGCCTCGCTCAGCATTTGGGACCCGCGAGTCGGAGCCATGTTGCAAGAAAGGAAAAGCCGGAGGTAAAGCAAAGGGGACACAAACGTGCGGGAAAAAAGAAAGGCGAAGGAAAGCAAAGCTGAGGTAGGGGAGATAAAAGTCAAGCACTAGGAGGCAGCCAGGGAACATTCTCGTTCACAAGAACATGCCATCTCAGCCGAATGGAAAGTAGTTGGCTTTTCCTTCAATGGAAATCACCAAGAACTGGGTTTGCCTCAGAACTGGGTTTGCCTCAGAACAGGGACCTCATCCTTTGACCCCTCTCGAGCAAAAAAAAACGCCTCTCCGGAAAGGGAGTTGCCCACTCATAGAGAGCAAGGCCCAGCCTCATTCCCCCCCCCCCTCACAAAAAAAGGGGCGAAAGTATCAGGTCCTAAATCATTCAACTGGGGTTCTAGTACTTTTGAACCCAAATCAAGTCATGCTTCTAGCATGCCTCTGGCCTCCAGCCTCCAGCCGGGAGGGACCCCAGCTCCTCTGAGCCCCCCGCGTGTGGCACGTCTTCTCGGCACCCAGGAAGTTCTCCGCGCCCTCGTGTACCTCTCGAAGGGCACTCTGCCGTCGAGGCGAGTCGAGGGCCACTGGGGCGAAGCTTCCTCCAGGGGACTCTCGTTTTGTGGATGCGTTCGTGTACAAAATTATGGTGGCTCGATGCGTTTGGGGCCGCTTCTTTCTGTGGAGTGGCTCTGGGCCCGGAAGCTGACGCGAGAAGGGGGCACATCTTGTGAGTGAGTGGTTCTGCGAGTTTTACCGGAGCAGGGACAAGTGTTCAGGTTGTTCTACGTTTTAAGCAACAACTTTGGCCCAACCGCCCAAGGCAACGAAGATCCTTTAAGCACGCTTCACATGCCTGGGCTCAAGGAAACAGCGGGCCAATCCCTCCCAGTGGGCCCGACTTGATCTGGCCATGGGTCAAAATCCCGTACCCCCAGTGAACATCCCAATCCAACCACTAACATAGGTCCTAAAATGGGCGGTGAATTCACCGACCAACCAAAATGGGATCCAAAAACGGTTTTGACAACCACAACCATCTGAAAGCAACTCCACCTTCTTCTCTACCTCCCAGTCTTGCTTCTGGACCCCGCGCCTCAAAGGTCCGCAACGTTGTGCATGGCAACCCCGACTCCATGTCCCGGGGGAGGGGCGGGGGTGTGAGCCCAGAAGCCTCACGTAAGTAGCTCTAGATGCACTCAAACATGTGGGACCTGACACAACTTCCGTGGAGCAGCAAAGCAATTGTGTGAACGGTTCATTTGCGCACTCTCCTTGTTCAGCGGGGAATAGGAAAGATTGGGATAGTCCTCCTCAAATGCACTGCGTGGACCAATGGGGTTGTCCCTCCTGAGATGTGTCCTCTTTTTGAAGGGAAATGAGGGACTTTCCATCTTCCAGTATATCCATTTCGGTAACATCCAACCACTTGAAGACTTGGGGCAACAAACACAGAGAGAGAGAGAGAGAGAGAGAGAGCGCCAGCGCTCATGGAAAACAGAGCTGAAACAGGGGAGTGCACATGCTTGTACATCTCTGGCTGGACCTCATGCGACCCACCAGGTGCCTTCCCCCCCGAAGTGTAGAAACCCTCGAGGTCCCCGGACCAAACTATCATGAGCTCACCTGCGGGGTATGATGGACGTCTTGGACAGGCGGTGCTTACG